GCCGCCCCCCGGGAGCTGCCCCGCCGCTCCGTGCTTCCCTCCCACCCTTTCCTGTCGGGATTTCCCTTGGGAGCAGAGCTGGTACTCGCTGGGAGTTACCCGCAGCCCCGGGAGCGGCTCCAGCAAGGCTGGAGGAGGTGGCCCTGACAGGCGGAGCGGCCCGGGCTCTCCAGCTCCTTCGGGACGGCCAAAATGCCAAATGGCCCGGGCCGGGGCCGCGCTCGGAGGCGAAGGGGGCAGAGCTGTCAGGTAACACCACCCTGCCACCGCCGCAGAGCCCGCCTGCCCCAGCCGTCCGCGGGCAGGGTATCTCTCTGCTCAAAAAAAAACCCTCCAGTTTGTGCCACGTCTCAAAATCTTCAGGGTTTTGGCCCCTTCTGAGCTAAACTGCCGAGAGGCTCCCGGCAAGGAAAGGCGCAGGCTCGAGTGTCAGCAGCTGAGATGGGTGTCAGCCCTGCAGCTGGAGGGCTGGGTAAGACCTGCCTTGGGCTGCGGCGTGACATACGTGTTGATGTCTGTAACGTATCACCCCAGGATCTTGTGTCAACAACTTTCCTAGCAATTCTTACTTTTGGGGGGATTTTTTAACCAACCTGCCAGGTGTTGCTGCAGTTCATGAACTTTTTTTTTTTTTTCTCTGACTTTATGCTTTCAACGTGATTTACAAAAATTGCTTATAATAAGGCTCATTCAGTAGCTGGATAATGGTTGTCAGGAGTTAAGCGATGCTGTGGCATATTTAGCACAGAAGCATATTGTGTATCTCTGGTTTTAAGGCAGTTTCTCTTAAGAGTAGGATGTGCAAAGGTACCTATGGGGTGCCAAGGAGGGCATTTCTTGCAAAGGATGTGAGGGTTGCATGATGGAGGAGGGACAGTAAATGGCCTCAGCAGTGAATTCACAGCTGTAAATCCAGATTAGGAGTTCAAGGTCTTGGAAAGGCTAATCCCTTCCTAACCTTGGCCATACTTGAATGACCTGTTCTTTCCCCGCCACATCCCTGTCGGGCATCCGTGACCTGCCAGCAGCCATGACCTGCCTGCCGGGTGCTGAGCAGGGCCAGGGAGGGACACGGGCTGCAGCCACCCGTGGGACCTGACCAAGCAGGTCTCTATCCTTTGGAAATGTCTTTTTGTCCCAGTGGTACCTTCACACCCAACGTGGTGGCTCTCAGAGCACAGTGCTTGCAAAGCCACCCCCGTGGGTGGGGAGACTCCTGGGCAGAAGGGAAAGTCCTTCATCGGCAGCCAGGCTCCTTCTTCTCCATCAACCTGTTCCCCAGCAGGACCTGCCCTTCTGCTCCCCCTTTCTTCCTGGTGTCACTTCAACCACCACTGCTTGTTTGGGTATATATATATATATACATATATATATATATATATTAGAGTAGGAAGAAGTGATGCTTTTGTGGCTAGCAGCTCTTGGGTTTGCCTTCCTTCTGCCAGGCTTGCTCCACATAAGCCATTGCTAAGTCTGTGGGCTAACTGGCTATATTTATTGTCTCTTTTAAGGCTTTGCATCGTTCAGGGGGGTTATTTGCTGTTGCTGCTGCTTTGTTTGGGGCAGGGGTTTGGTTTTTCTTTTTGCCTTCCTCTCAAGGGCCTCTTTAATTGTCACCTCAGGCATCAATTACGGCTCAGATGTGATTTTGGGCACTGAGTCTGGGAATTGCACCACCCTGGGGAGGGGGAGGCTGGGTGCGAGGACAGCCCTGGTGGGGAATCTGGATGAGGGGATGCCATGGGGTGATGCTGCAGGAAGACGGCCAGGGGAAACTGCAGGGATGAGCTCTGGTGTTTCATAACCGCGGCTGTTAAGAGGTTTGCTGTCGTAAAGTTCTCCCCACTGAAGCTGAGCTGCATAAACTGTTGGATAATCTGTGTTGAGGCTTTTCCTCCCTGGCAGGAGAGCTGCTGGATGTCAGCCACATGAGTGTTTCATACTTGCAAACCTCTACTTTGATTCCCAAATTCAGCTGCTCAAAATTCTGCCAATTTGCAAACAAAAAATTGGGGTGTTTTTTGAATGGCTTATTACTAGAAAAATCCTCTTGCCTTTTTTTTTTTTTTTTAAATTGCCAAAAATTGCAAAGAATGTTTCATTTCTCCTGAAACAAGCAAAAAGCATCCTTTTTGTGTTTTGGAGGTTTTTTTTCTTGTTTCCTCTGAAATGGGGGATTTCAATTTTTCAATTGCAGCTGTCCCATGACTTATTTTTCTCTCCAGGGGTCAGAGGCTGGGATGGAGTTACCTTCCCAGAAGGTTGTCTGAGGATCAGCACACCCAACTCCATTACACTCCTGCAGAAGTATCACTGGAGACCTTCTCAAGGCATCATTCGACAGAAAGCAAGTAATGTGCTCACGTCAGCTGTCTTCCCTTTCATCTGACGCTGCAACAACTCTTCAGAAAATCAGGGTAATTAATGTAGCTCTGTCTTGTCCTGCCTAACAGTTTGCATTGTGCTTGCCACGTGCTAAGAGCCTTCTGCCTGATTTCTGGTTAGTGTAGAAGGAAGGGAGAGAGGGAAGCAAGAAAGACCAAAAGCAAAGTGATGCTGTGCAGAAGATCTGAGGCTGCGTCCAGGCTCCCCACCACAGCCCCACAGAGAGGCACAGCCCCATGTGTGTGGGGGCCGGCCACGGGGATGCTCAGGGCCCATCTGCCTTGGAAGACAAGTCCCGGGAGTCAAGCAATGGGATTAAGAAGTCAGCCAGACATGCTGTCCACTGGGTAAAATTAGTCCCTGCTAAAGCATTTCTTAATCCTCGGTGCAACTGAGATAATCTAAGCACAGATTAACCTGGTCCAGCTGGATTTAAGATCCCCGCTCCCCATTTATTTTTGGCAGGAAGAGACTACTACTGCTCTGGTGCCTTGTCAGATGTTCGCACACCAAACCCCACTCAGGAGAACAGGATGCGAAAGCTCAGTGTAGTAGATTCATCTTACAACAGAGGTCCCAAATCCTACAGTTTTATTACAAATTTTGTGATTTAGGGTCATGTTTTGTTCCCAGGGCCCTGTTTCTCAGATTACTCTGATTGCGTAATATGCCATCTTTTCACTTCCAACAGAAAAAAACAAAACAAAACCCCCCCAAAAAAAACCAACCAACATTTTCGGCCCTCAAAATGCAAAGAAAATGTCAATGTAAAATTGTCTTCAAGAAGGCCCTTCCCTATGGCTTTTCCCTGGGGTAAGTCAGTGACTAGCTCAGGGAATGATCTCCATCAGCCTTTCACACAGCAATATTTGAAAAACTACAGATTTTAGGGAGAAAAAAAATACTACTTCATTTCACAGGTCTCCTTTTTACTTTCTCAGCTGGAGGTCTATATGCAACTGGGACTGGACATGGGAGCTAAAGGCCATTCCACTTTTAGGATCTCCCTGCTGCAGTGTCTGGAGTTCTTTAAGTGAAAGTATCAGTGAAAGCCCGTTGGGTTTGTAAAGCTTTGAGAATGTTCCTATTATTCTTAGATATTGCAAAAGCTTGTTTTTCAAAATAAAATGAAATCTTTGCCAGAATTTCATAGTCTGCCTTTATGTAAGAGAGGAAAGGAAGAGCGTAGGGAATGTTAAAAGTTTAAACTGGTATTCCCAGACCTTTAAAACAGCTCTGTTTCCTTTTTTTTTTTTTTTTTTTTTTTTTTTTTTTTTTTTTTTTTTTTTTTTTTTTAAAGAAAGATCTAATTTTCAGTCTCTCAACCATTTCTGGATCGTTTTAAGGTAGCAAGAGCACCGTGGCAATGACTCACATTACTGCATTTCAATAGATCCCTTTGTCATCTCCAATATAAGACACTTTGCCTTTTGGCTGAAATGTAATTTTCTCACAGGCACACATATGTATGCACGTGTGTATCTGTGTCTCTGCATAGAAATTGTACACTGTGAGAAAAAGCCGGGTGCGGGATTCCCTTGAAGCTGGTGCCTCCAACGTGCTGTGTTGAGGGGCAGAGGGAGCTGCTGGTACCCCAGACAGCCAAAGGGGCCATGGCGGGGGTGGTACTGGCTGCCAGGAGCACTCCTTGAATGCTGCAGGATGCTCCCTCCAGCCTCATTGTGTATGGGGATGCTCTGCAAGAAAACATCGACTCTGAGAGGGAACTCTCCTGGGAGATATGGGGCAGCTTGGTCCTCTCTTCAAAGGAGGACCCTGCCTGGGGAGGGCAGCCATAGGCAGGAGTGGGTGCTGACCATCCCCGGGGGGACCCATGCACTTCACGTCTAACCCGGCAGGAGCCTCATCCATCTCCACTGCCGTGGTTTCCTGCTGCTGGCAGCCTTCCAGGCTTGTTTTGTTGCTTCAGTCTTAATTTCTCACGGCAACAGGTGGGTTGGGTGAGAGGACACCTCACTGTTTAATAAGGAGCTGTGTCTCCGTGCTGCATCCTGGAAACTTCTGCATGGGTTTTAAAAATAAGGACAAGTTAAAGAGATGGATTTATTTTTCCCTACAAAGGCCACCACACCACTAGACTGAAAGATAATTGATCAAATGACCTTTTTTCCCATTTACTGCCCTTCCCAGAAACCTGTCGTATCCGTGCACTGCAAACACTTCCAGTAGGATCAAACGGCTGTGCAATGCACACGGTGTACATGCTGCACACCTCAAATTTGTGATGTCTTTAACCAGCCCTCTTAAGCAAAGGACTGGAATTCACATATGCTGTCACCAGACTTTTTTGCAGCCATGGGAGCCTCTTGTGTGCCAGCAACCCTCTGCAGCATCCCAAACGTAGAACTACCAGTTCCGCAGCAGCTACAGGGAGGAGGCAGGATTGCTGTCGCCCCATCCTCCTCCTGCCATCCTACATTCTTTGGGTGCATGCTTCCCTTCCCCAGTTTCCAGTGGAATGAAGCAGAGGGCGTCTGATCCAGGGAGAAAAAAACCCACAAGTTTCCCAGGCGGTGCCAGTCCCCCCTTGGGGAGCATAGCGCCACAGAGCGTGGTTATTAACCAGACAGTCCTGAAGGACACTTTAAAATAAATTAAGAGGGCTGTTCCGCTCCTGCAGCTGATTACAGGCATGCCTGGCTTTTTTTCCAGAGAGTGGAAAAGAACACTTGGAAAAAATTCTCTAATTTTCCCTTTTTGCCAGATCAGACCTCTGTGCAATAACAAAACCACAGTGCTCGCTGCTCGCTGCTCTCTTTGGGACACCCAGGCTCAGCAAAAGCGCGTAAATCTGCAGGAGGCCTGGGGCCAGAGTGCAGCTGTCCCGACATGCTATCCGCCCCCTGCCTCCTCACTACAGCTTTAGCATCTGAAGCGCAAGAGACATGCAGATCTGGAGGTAAGCCCTGGTGGGAAGGAGAGCAGCGCCGAGTCCTGCAGGTCACCAGTTAAGCATTTCAGCCCAGAGCAGATCTCTCATAAGCCACTTTTTGGAGATAAGCTTATCTAGACCCAACAGCTGAATTTAACCCTGAACTTTTGATCTTGATTTTTTAGCCTCGGCAAGCCTATACGTTTCCTTGAAATTATACACAGTAGATTTCAGCTCACCCACTATAATGGCTCCACCGCTCCCTTAAAAGGGACCTGCACGACTGTGCATGACAGCATCATCCAGTAATGCCCTTGGTTTCACAGCCAGCCCTGCAAGTTAGACAGGCCCCTGGCCGGGGAAAGCCTTCGATTAATGACAGTGGGGCTCCAGCGGGAGAGGAGCTAGGATTTTACACTTCCAGTGATAATGCATTTGAAGGTAATATTGTAACAGGAGTGGATTATAACCCTGGCACTTTGCTGTGCAGGCTTTTGGAAATTTGTTTTCAGTGCATAGAAGCAGCTAGAGACGCTCTTTCTCGCTGCATGAAAAATGCACTTAGTAATAGTCTTTCTATTGCTGGACAAGCTGACTGCGTTGGGGCTGTCAGCGCCGTGACAGACTAGCTAGGAAGGGGTTTGCTAATCAGTTTTCCTAGCATCAAATCAGCATCTGCTATATATGATCAAGGAAATTGAGGAATCTCAGTGTTTTTGCAATATTGCTTAGTTGGCCATGAAATATGGGTGGTTCTGAGAGGAATGGCTTATTTCTCCCTCACGAAGATAAAGCAACTTTGGCTAACGATGAAGCATCGCTGCACGATGAAGCCAGCTAATAGCGGCACTCTGATGAGGGCAGATACACAGCAGCATCCCAGCAGAAGGGAAGGGAGGCGTAAACAGCTTTGCAAATAAGACATTATTAATATGGTTGAACTACAGAGGGCAGAAGGGATTTCTTTTCTCTTCTTTCGCTCCAAAAGCAATATTTAGAAAATGTCTAGGCTGCCACATTAGCCAAGATATTAAATTCTTAGAAATTTAACTGGATGTTTTCTAGCTTTATTTTTGTTTGCTAGCACACAAGACCAGTCTTCCTGGACAAGGTTGTCTGAAATCGGGCTGAGGGAACCACTCTTCTGGCCAAGGGGTACATAAACAGTATTTAAACAGAGCCTAAGTCCCACTTTTGGAATATGATTTGGGGCTCTACTTGCCCACATCACCCCTGACGCTAGGGTCTGAGCTCTGCAGGCTCTCTACCACTTCTGAAAAAGTACCTTCTTCACGTGCCTAAACAGGTCTTCAGCACTCTCCAGTTTAAACCCATGACATTTGCTACAGCAACAAAAAGCTCCCAGGGTCAGTGTGGTGTGACTGTGGAGTTTGTGGAGACCAAGAGGCTCACAGCAGCTGAGGGCTGAGCCCTTCACCCTCGAGGCAGGGCAGGTATTTGCACCACCACGCAGCCCCCAGCCCACCTCCGCAACGGGAACACGTGGCTCACACGTGGCTTTTCCTGGCCAAAGTGCTTTCTCCGTTTCTGCTTTGGCAAGACAGCTGTGGTAGCAAAGAGGGAAGAATTTGCTTCCTTCCTCCCCTCCCTCCCCAGCACTAACGATTTTCCTAAGATTAAACAAAATAATCCCTCCCCTCCCTCTCCATCCAGCTCAGGGCTGGGGGGAGCCACCATGGTGCAAAGGTGGGGTTGGACATGGTGGGAGTGCTCCCAGCACCAGCGTGCCAGAGCTTGGCACTTGGACAGCTCAGGAGGGCAGGGACAGCTTAGTTTTTGTGGCTCTATTGAGGTTTTTAGGCCAATCACAGGCCAGTCAGTTGAGATCCATGCCGAAAAGTGCAAACCTGTTCCTGGGACCGAAGCGCATAAACCCTTTTTATGCAAGAGCCCTGCGATATAAGCAGCAGCCGGGGATTTATGCTGTCTTTGAAGTAAATTGCATCCTGGTGCACTATAGCATGAAAGTTAAGATTTACCATTGCCAGGACACTGAAGACCCTGGTGGAAGCAAGGGAATAAATAGCGCAGCACTCTCTTCTCTGCCTTCTGCTGCGCGACTCGGCTTCACAGACCTTCCTCCCCTCTCCACCCCTGCTTCCACTTGCATTGTGTCAGGGAAGCAAATTGGTCACATCTGCATCCGGCCAGAGAGGAACAAATGTGCTGGCTAGGCAGCAAGGAGCTTTCTGAGGGGGGATACCTCAAAGTAAAATGAAAGGCTGGCCATCAAAGGTAGAAAACAGACCAGCGGATGAAAGGGATTCTTTGCTTAGCTTTGGTAAGGCTACTAGGTATTAATAAAATTTTTTAAAAAGCGTAAGAAAACTGGGGCATCCAGAGCAGCACGTTTTTTCCCCCTCCCCTTTTCCTTTGCTCATCCTCTGTCATCAGCAGAGGGGAGGGATCGGCGTCCCCCCATGCTGCGGCAAGCACTGTTTATCTTCACTCCTCAGGACGCTGCCATTAGCAGGGCTTCAGCGTGCAGTGATGCTTCATCATTAGCCGGAGGTGCTTGATCTGGCTGGAGAAGAAATGAGCCGTTCCCTCCAAAGAAACCCTCGCGTTTTGTGGCCAGCTGAGCAAATATTTTGAAATATTCCAGCTCTGCAATTTCAGCGGTCAGATAAAACAAAGGGGAATCTGATACAAAAGGGCTGAATTCTTCCGTTCGCTCTCCAGCAACCCCACCGAAGTTGGTAGCACTAACAGGGAACCAAGTTCAGCACAGCAGGGAAGCACATGCATAAGTCCCATGGAAAATCCCTGCGGTCTTTACGGTTAATCATGTCCAGTTAATCATGTCCAGAGGTGGACGAGCACTCAACTGATGCGCTGAATCATGACATACAGGCAATTACCCTAAATCAGAGCAGTATCTTCCAGTCCCAAAAGGCTCCATTATGCTTCACCTACTCCTGAAGAGAAGGCAAAAGCCCCAAGCAGCAGCGCTGTGGTGTAGGGAGGATGAAACAGCCAGGTGTTCCTCTGCCACCTCCCCAGCACTTTTCTAACCTTGTGAAAAGTTCTGGCAGCTCTTTAAATCCAGGCTGTTGAGATTTACCGCTCCAGACCCTCCAGGCAGCTTGCGGAGTTTACTCTGGGTTTCTCCCAGCTGGCTGCATCAAGCCCCACAGACAAGGTTTCACAGGGGTTGAGACTTATGGGTCGGGCAGTGTTTGTCCTTCTCTCTGACTGCAAATATGTGTCTTCCCCTCT